CACTACCTATCTGGCGTGATTTGAAATTCATGGACATCACAAATCTAAGTATCTTTGTCTAATACTCTAATTCATAGGAGAACTCAGGTTTCAGACTTGGAAATTATACCTATCAGGGCTGCAACTTATGCACAGCCATTTGTATGTCATTTTGTTTCAACGGGGCTTGTACAGTGTGCAAACTAGGATTAAACTGTTTGCAATCAAGTATGTCCTGCACAAACTTCTACAGATGTACAAGGTATTCAGTTACAAAGGTTCCCTCTGAAGTGAGGGATGAGGATGACAGCTGTGACAGATAGGATCAAGGTAGTGAGCTCCCAATTTTGTTACAACTGTAAAAAAATTCCAAATATTTCAATATACCTTATGTACTTGTCAAAACAATAGAAAGTTTACAGTGTTTGACAGATACTGAAAAGTTTGAAATCAGAGGCACAAGAGCTAAATATACCAGTAAATAAAAATCCAAAAATATGTTCTTAAATACTTGTATCATTGCCCAAGCATGTACATTCCAGGATGCGGTCCTAAAGAAATTTAACAGTGAAGGAAGTTTTTTTAAGACTATGTGAAACTTATTTTTGAGCAAACCTGCATCTTTAAATTGAGTAAGGCAGGTTAGATTGTTCCAACCAATGGCCGGAATGCACTTGAAAAACCTTCTACTGACTCCCTACCCCCTCTAGATCAAGTTAGTATTGCCAACAGTTGGGAATAATGAAAAGTGTGCATAAGAACATAAGCACAGCCTTGCTGGATCAAAACAATGTTCTATTCACGAAATAGCCAACTGGACACCTATAAGAAGTTCACAAGCAGTGCCCCAGCACTTTCCTGCTCATATTGCCCAGTAATGAGAAGCACACTGACTATGGTATCTGAGGCACAACTCCACTAAATTAGTTTGAGAGCATCTGTGGTCCACTAAGTACAGCAAGGTCAAAGGAGCCCAATCCTGTTTTAGAATCCCATGGGGCAGGGAATGACCATAAATCCTGGATAAAGAAAAAGTTGGACATGCCTAAGTTAGACCATCACTAGTGGAATAGAACAGTAACCAATAAATGGAATTGACCATTTACACACCGCATGTGTAATGGGCTGAGAAGAAATGGTAAGGTGTCAAAGGGCATGTCTGTTTGTGTCACATGGTCTAATCTCTGCACCAGCTGTTCTCCTGCCCTCAGATGTGTAACTGCCAATCTAGATATTTTTTGTATTAAATATAGGGTACACCATCTTGTCCTTCAAATGTATGGTCTAGTATCTGTTAAAGCTATGCACCTAGACTCATAAAAGCTCCACTGAATGGTTCTCAAAATCAGCTTTCTCTGACAAATAATTTACTAAAGCTATATCTAAATCGGGAAAAAAAAACACCTTTCCAATAACAAAACTAATCCTACTAAAAGAATTGACCTATAATAATCCAATAAGTATACAAGCAGTATCTCTGCATTTTTGTGAGAAAACAGAATAGGAAGAAACAATGTCTTCCAAGCTTGCCAGTTGGTATGTATTTGGAGGAAAATGCTGCCTCTTTTTTTTTCTGATTTCTAATCTAATTGATGCAGTTCTATGCTGAGCAAACTACAGTTGAACAATAATAATAATAACTGTGTGCCCTCAAGTTAATTCTGAGTTATAGCAACCCTTTTCAGGGTTTTATGTTTATCAGATCATTACATGGCACTTGTTTAATTGGATTCATTAGATTGCTAATTCAATTGTAAACATGTTTAATGGAAGTAAAGCTCATTGATTCCAGTGAGGAATGCTTTGAAGCTAGTGGCTTAAGACTATAGCAGTCGTGTTCGCTTTCTCAGAATGTTTTCAAACATTGCAACTCATATTATGTTGCACATTTACTGTTCATGATTTTTGAAGGAGCACTGTTGCAACCTACTGAACAATTGATTCAATGGGCCTACTCTAGCTGGAACTAGCTAGATTTTGTCTGAAGCTTTCTAAAACAGACATTTACTGAATATTCTGATCTCTTAGTAGGTGTTTCTCACCAAATTCCAGGCAGACTGGGTCAAGTCTTCTTTCATCTCAAGGTGTTTGATTAAAGACTTTTAAAAATTCCTTTAAAGCACAGGTGGGAATTATGTAGTCCTCTGGCTCCTATTAGCACCAGCAGGCATAGCCAGTGCAACTTCCTCCATCCTTAACTATAGTATCGGCTATGCAAGCCAGCACTGACAAGAGCCATAGTCCTATCACACACTACACATTCCTATAAAAAATAATCTAAACTGATGGTTGCTGGTATAATGTTGCATCTTTATGAACTGGAAGCAAGGGAAATATTGTTATGAAGGGCAGCTGTTGAGCAGCAGCTACTGTGCAGCAGAGCAAATCAACAGTCTACAAGGCAGTTCTAAAAATAGATGCAGCCCAAACCAAAAAAAAAAAACAAAAAAAAAACCAACTTAGAAATTGGACTTTGGATCAGCAACAAATTTGGCATAGGTGTAGCAGAGAGCCTGATCTCGTCTGGTGCCAAATTTGGGGAATTTGGGGCATAGAGTTTTCAAGTTATGCTTTTTTTAAAAAAAAAGTAAAATTGTTCCCCCCCCCCTTTGCAAAAGAAAGCAACACGGCATGTCCCCAAATTTAAAATAGCTCATACAAATTGAAAATATGAGTTTTGCTTATATTGAAACAAAACAGTTGGTCTTACTCAGTGCTCTACAGGATATCATCTTGTGCTCACTACCATTCACACTTGTTGAAAAATAGCCATGACAATTGCTTTATGTGTGGATGAGACGTGGTTAACTTCTCATCCAAAAGGATGAAAAAGGGAGTCCGCTTCTGGGATTTTTCCCTGCTTAGTGTCACTTTGGAAATGGTAGTGAACACAAGAAGTGCTGCCATTGGTGTTGACAACATTCAGCTGCCCTTTGCTATATAAAGCTTAGCATCTTTTGTCCTGCTGGAAATGTGGCCATGACGTTATGCAGTAATATTGTATTGGACCATTTCCTGGCATTTTGAATTGTGGATATATAAGCACAATATCCCACATTCATAAACTGGAGAATTGTGGTTGTTATTCTGAAGAACTGCATTCATGTTACAATCACATTGTAACCTGTGTCACTGTTGCTATCACTAATGCACTAGTTGTGATTTCTGTATGAACAGGAATTAAAACTTGTTTGCAGAAAGAAAATAAAGACAGATGGTTGCAGTTTAAACCCAGGGAGATAATGTAATCTCTCTGAAACAGAAAGCAACCTTAAAAGGAAAATATTTGAATCCCCCTATAGGTTGAAGATAGTTTTGTGATTATTTTCAAGACTACTGAGTTATATTTGGCACATATTCCCATGGACTGCAACCCATTGCATCCCATGCAGCTAATGATGTGGACTGCAGTCCATGAATGCTTATACGAGTTCGAATATGATCTTTAAGGTACTGTTTTACAACAACCAATTTGCACTAGCATATTATTGAGCTACAAATGCAGTAGCTCAGAACCAAATGATGAGTGAAATAATCATTGAATCAATGCCTTTTCTGTTTCCCTTTCCCTGTATTTATGGCACATATGACTCTCAAGATGCTGTTGGGCTCTGACAAGACCTAAGCTGCGTGACTAATGACCAAGAAGAATACGAATTGGGCTCCACCAACATCCTGAGGGTGAGAAGTTCCACACCCCTATACGAGTCCTACTCTGTTCTGTCTTATGAAAGATTTGGTTAAAAAAAATGAAAAGAACAAGTTTTCATAGGCTGTTTAACTGCAACACACATTACTCAGGAGCAAGCAGCATTGCCATAAATACATTTACCATCCAAAAATATACCTAGGAAGGGAGAAAATTACTCTCACCCCAGGCCTTAATTACAATCAGTGTCCTTCCGTCTCCACTGACATGTTCCTTATGATTCTGTTGGTGCATTTTCAGCTTATTCTGAAACTAAGCAAACCAGCCATTTAGCCTGTTCTGTGGGCTTTTCCTCTCTCACTTTTCATTCAGAGCATTGTGTTTCATGGTTTTCTTTTTTTATAATTAAACCTCTATCTCTGACCATCCCACCTGTATGCCTCCACCTCAAGTGGACTGTTCTCCTTCCGGCTTGTCTAGCAAAACAGACATTCTCACCCACTTCCAAAGCACTCATTATTAGATTGGAATCAGTGCAGAGTGTGTGTCCAACTGTGGGAACTGAATCATGCTTGAGCATTCTGCTGCTTCCTGCTTACCGACTATTGTGTTCTTTTCCAAATCATAACCATTGTTCACAAACGTCATCACAATTCAAAGGGTTCCTCTACTCTTAATCCATGCAGTTACTCCTCTCGCCTTATAGAAATCAAGCTACAAATGCCTTTCCCTTCCCACCTCTCCTCCTGGAACATACAGTCCTCTTTCTGGTTGTTTGCCCAACGTATGTACCTCCAAGGCCAACACTTCTAAAATTGCCAGTAGCCCCAGCAAATAACCATGCTGATGTTGTAGCTGTGGGATAGCCATTCTTTACAGCACTTGGGGAGCAGGAGCTGTATACACAGAACATCAGCTGCTTTGCATTTTAATGTATGGTTCACTTTTTTCCCTGTATGTAAAAAGCATAGCAGAGTGGGCTTGTTTTACTAGGGCCAGAGGGGAGCCACCAGCCAAGAAATGGTGCTCTTGACCACTTCGTTCTACGTTGCCAACACAGTGGCCATAAATTGCTCACTTGGCATACCACAGAGGTGCCCAGCTTAGATCTCCTCCACAATGTGCTGCTTTCATTTTGTTCCACTTCCTGCCATTTCTGATGCTACGGCATAATTTAAACAGGAACATGGGCAACCAAGACCTTGCCTCTGCCTTACAAAGATTCTTTCTAGTGCATTGTAGTTTATCAAATGCTGGTAACAACAATGATATTTTAATCATGTGCCTGCAGTTGTATTGCTGCAATCATGTCTTTCCTAGCACAAACAGTAAAAAAAGGAGAAAGAAATAAAGAGGAGGAGAGAACCACCCATCAGCTTCCATTGGTTATAATAACAGACGTCCCTTTGTGTCCCTGTGCTGGGTCCTGCTGCATCCGTAGGTGAGATGTCACGTCCAAGTGCGATCCATTGCAACCCAAGGAATAGTTTCTAAGTGTTTCACTGTCGTAAAGGTGCTCCAGAGCATAGCCTGTTAATGTGTAGGCATGCTTATCAAAGTACTGCCTATGGGAACTGTAGTAGTTGGGCGAACCTGTGGGGTTATTTGTATCCCCTGGAGTTTGATGAGGAGACATTTCAGAAGGAAGGAAGTCTTTAGCTATGATCAAACTTGATTTAGAAATGCGATCAGAATTGGGGCTGCTTATTCTTGAGAGTGTTGTGGGGCTGTTGTCATAGTCATTCTCATGGGGGCTCATCATCTTCCCGTCACGTTGCTGTGTGTGCTCACAAGGAGACGTGTTGGAGATGCTGGGTGCCCGGCAGACATCTCCTCTCATCTGCTGTGCCTGGTGGTAGTTTGCAAAACAAACAGTGTGTTTCTTCCCTGCTCCATTAATGGAAACCAGCTGATCTGGAGTCGATTTCCGTAACTGCAGCCTGCTCTCCTCTTCTTTAATCATTTGCTGAGTTGCCCTGATGAGAGTTTCAATTTTGCTGGGCTCGTGTGGGCTGCCCTGATAGTGCTCAGAGTGATATCTGTCCCCTGACTCACTAGCAGAACCAGGGTCTGGGGAACTGACCACACTTTCTTCATCCCAGTGACCTCTTCCTAGAAGGCAAGTAAACCAAAGGAAAAGAGCAATCAGAAACAGGCTGTATAAAGAGCAGAGCAGAACATTTGGAAAGTATGCATTGCCTGTGGGAAGCAGAACTATTCCCCACCCATTTGCTAGCAGCTTTTTGTAGTCCAAAAACGTAATGCAAAATTAATGTTTCAAAGCTCTGTTCCCTCTTCCCCCATTTGCCCTTTTAAGATAGCCAGCTCACAATACTGCACAAAGGCACAACTGGTGCAAGGTCTAGACTGGATCTGAGAAACCTCCAGACTACAGGCAAAATGCAGATATCCACAGTCTGGACCTCTAGACTTTCCCTGGTCATTCCAAGGCATCTTCTACTCCTCACTGTTCTGTTTGCCGGCTACAAAGCTGATAGAGGGAACTTGACACAAGTGTATCAAGGCAAATACCTACATGTAAGGGGGAAAAAAGTGTCTTCCGTCACTCTGTGCAGTACCAAGGAAAGAACCAGATTTATAATTCCTCCTTCACATACAGTAGGTCTAGATCAGGTTTGGATCTAGACTGCTGCATAGAACTTGGCAAGTGGGGGAAGTCTCCCCCACTCCAGTTTAAATTCTAGGAGAGAGATAGGCAAAATAGTCCTGTCTAGATTCTACAGATTGCCTTTCCCCTCAGCCAGCACAATCAAAGGTGAGAGAAGAGAAGAGTTGTTATCCAGCAACATTGGGGTGGGGGGGTCATTGAGGGTGGCTTGTGAGAGGAGCAGGGGGTTAGATGCTCTCTTATAGATGTCCTCTCATTCTTCCTGCAGAATTCTGAGGTGAGATGCTCTGTCATAGTGGTGTACAAGCTGTCCTTGGTCTCTATAGCTTGCTCTTGGACCCAAAAGTCCTATGTCACCTGGATCTCTCTGAGACAGGGAAGTCTAACAAATGTCTGTCTGTCTGTCTGTCTGTCTGTCTGTCTGTCTGTCTGTCTGTCTGTTTAATTTGTACCCTGCTCCCATTAGTGTCACAACTCTACTCTGAGTGGGTTACAACACATATAATAGAAAACAAAAATAAAAATAGAGACATTAAAACCGACAGCAATAACCCTAAAACACCAAATGGCAATGACTAATCCCCAGAGCAGTTGGAGGAAAAGAGGGGAGGGAAAACAAAAGGTGAGGAAAGTTGGTCAGCTGGGGTAGGTGTGGGGAGCCTCACTGAAATGCAATGTCTTTAATTGCTTCCTAAATGTCCACAGGGAAGGGAGTAGGCAGAGCTCCTCTGGATTATGGTTCCATAAACTTGGAGCCATCACAAAGAAAGCCCATCCTCTTGTAGAGGATTCATTCATTCATTCATTCATTCATTCATTCATTCATTCATTCATTCATTCATTCATTCATTCACCTGAAAAGGACACAAGGTGACTTAGCCGCCTAGAGTGGATGAGTAGTCCAGATAGGTGGG